TATGAAATTAGGATTTTGAAAACATTTCACAGAAAAATAGTTTCTTATAAACACTCCTACTTATTTCATTGGTAACATTAACAGTTAGGGATGCTGCCCTTAAAATTTTACAAGATTTACTCTAACTACTATTATGAGAGCGATCTCTTGGAACAGAACCCCGTCACCTTTGTATCACCTTCGGGACTTAAGTGCTCTCGGAACTACGAATATGGTGGATGAATCTCTAAGCTTCATTGAAGCAGAAACAGTGAGAAATAAATTCAAATAGCCTCTGAAGTAGGCATACATAAGACTCATTAAATTAATATACGACACTGAAAATTGGCTGAGTAACTAAACTCTGTGGTAGGATAAAGCATAAAAAGGGAACCCTATAAACTAGAAAGCTGTGCCGATAATTAGTTAATTTATTACTCTTTAGATGATTGAATGAATCGTCAAAAGATATTCAAATTCAGCGAGAATCCTCCTTTACATGCTAGAATAACTCGATTATAAACAGCTTTAAAGAATGGTGAGCACTTAGTTGTTAACCTACTCAATACGAATATAGGTAGCGTAGTTGGTTAGAATTGCAATCCCAATTTTGCTTAATAAAACACTACGTTACAAAAATGTAATATGAGGAAGATTGGACATACCCAGAAATTCGCGCCTGTCCCGTGACTCAGTGGTATCTTTGGAAATGTCGCTTAGTGCTAACATGTCGAGACCATATTCTGCGTTACACAGGTTTGATTCCCACTAGGGCAACTGAGTGAACCCAGGTGATGTCAAAACTGCAGTCAATCCTGGATGATAATACCTTTTTTGAAGCAAGGCAATATGAAATCCAGTGGAAGCACGAGGCCTTCTTATATCATTGAGAGGAAATTAAAATAACAGTTTTTCATCACCTTATGAGACCTGGGGTGAGTTGAGCTCTTACTCAAAATCTACTGGTTGTTTCGAAAATCTACTCAGTTGAAATATAGGAACGAATGACTATGTAATCTAACCGTAGAGTGTCTTCTGGAAATTTGGCTGAGATCCGCATTCAACATTCACCAGTTTACATTCTAAAACTTTTGGTTCCCAATGAAAAGGAATATTTGGTCTTTCCTTCGGTATAGCAGCTGTTTCTGAATCAACAGGTAAAAAAAACATATGCACTAATTTATCCATATCTCTATTTGGAGTAGTGGATTCCGTCAATACGGAAGCCTCATGATTTAAAAGGGTTGACTGAAACTTGTTCCGCCTTTTACTTTAAGATATATGCTATTTCTCATCATATCTCTTAATTATAACATCGCAGGTCCTGCGTGACTTATTGTCAGTTATACTCTGGAATTTTTGAGAATCTTTCAAATGTAAATTCTGCCTAGATTCCTCCTGGGTTTAAACTTAGTATCTACGAGCCTATACAACTGACTCCTCACTATTATAGGCGCCCTCTAATTTCTGAATTGAGACAGAGTAGGATATTTTAGTAATGGTGTAAAAATGGCAATTCTGCAATATTTTACAACGATTTAAAAATATTAACACACTTTATTGGCCTACATTGTCTTCTTTGTTCGGCCGTAATAAGTGCATTGTATAATTAAGGTTTTACAACAAAGATTATACGGTCTCTATTTCGTTAGGCCTTTTTCTGCTGCAAAGAAATGACTTTATCTCGTTTTCGTAAATCGGTCGTTTTTTAAGTAGATCTTGATGAAGGCCCTATGTTCGGAGTCTTTTGCAATAGTAGTTACAATTACGTCCAGGAGATTGCCACCAAAAAAAGAGAGCACCATTTCTTAGTTGTCGTACCTTTGACTAAGAATATGACACTCGTTTTTTTCTAATAGCTAGAAGTACCTCAAACCTCCATTCGTGAGGGAATGCTCTATCCGAATTGAAACTCTCAAAATGAGAGCCATTCAACAAATAGGCGTATAATTTGACTTTACCAGCCTTGGATTTATTTATAATAACGAATGTTTTGGCAAGACCTGAACAAGTTATATTCGCCGAATGCAATATCCGGATGATTGCAAAATTTACCAATTGAAATCTTTAAATGCGATATACAGTCAGTTATACACTTTATATATGATGGCGTGTTTTATTGTCTTCAGCTTACTTTCTAGGCCATTTTATATAGATTATGGATTAATTTCTATATATGAGATGCGCGGTAGTCTCGAAAAACCTTTCAATAAAGAACAAAATAAGGCCCATAACCTGAAATCGACATTGGTGCACGCTCACATTAAAGCCAAATCATATAGCCTATATTAAATCATCTCTATAATATTATTTACCTTTGTAAGAAATGGAAGAGACATAATTTAATTGCTAGGCCGTTTTTGCCAGTAACATCCAAACGTTTGAATTCCATACCAGTAAAATCTATCTGACCGATTAACCTTAATATAGTTGGGTAAAAAATTCTAAAATGTATTAAGACCCTCTCTTACTCCTGCATTAAATAGATGCCTTTTAAGCACTCCACCTTAGAGCGATTAAGTTCTTATTTTGCAATTAGATATTATCTCGAAATCTACTCGTATCGAAAGTTCAAAGCAATGATGTTTTCTTTGACATTGCCACCTGGAATTTTGAGATGACCAGCGGTTAATACTGCTACGTTTGCACAAAGAAGGCAGAGTTTATTGCTTTTTTACGAAGCCGTATTTCTGAGAAATAGTCACTAAGAGAGGGCACTTCAGCCTCTTTTTCAAGCCTTTCATGCTATCACTTCAATGTCAAGATAACTCAATATATTGCTCTGCCTCTGCATGTTGTTCTCTATCCTCAACCCTTAAAATGCATGTGACCCTACCTCTACCTCTACCTCTGTATGTGTGCAGGCCTCTACCCTTGCATTTATGTTCCTGCCTCTGTACACTGGTTTCAGTTAATGCAAATGTTCCATTCCGGTTGCCTTTTATTTTAGGAAAACAACAATCTGATCAATGTCAATTATTGTTGGTAAGCTTAGCATCGTTCATTGGCTGAAAGACGATTAACTTATGTGCCCGCAGCACAAAACGAGTTGGGCACTGGCCATCAGACTAATTTTCAGGAGTTACGGGATTTGTTGCGCCTGCTCATGTCGCAGAAGTGATTATAACAAATGTCCTTCTTTTTCTATCATAAGCTTCTCCTGACGCTTATGGTACAGATAGATCGGGCCGGCTGAATCATGGTTTCGAAATACTTGCAACTGCTTACCCTACTCTTAGGCATTCCAAAGTCTTTGAATAGGGCTAGTTTCGGTACCTCGGCTCAATCAGCCTTACCGTCACAGCGGAATGGTTGTTTGGCCAATGGCTGTGCTGCCCTCCTCGACTCGTCCTACCGGGAGCTTGATGAGCCGTCAACACAGGCCTGGCAGAGGTCGAGCTCCGGCTCCTCCACCCCGACGTCTCGGACACTGGCGTCCAGTCGGCCGGGCGTATGTTGTATCCCAGTGCCCCTGTGCCAGGTGATAAGGCCACTAGGATGCACCGACAAGCCAAGGAAGATGGGCGGAAAGCGCAAATCACCTCGGTCTGTCGTTTGCCTCCAGGCTAGCCGAGCCTGTACAGACATGGGCACATGCAATCGCCTCTCTAGCCTTGTCGCTTAAGGGCCCCGGACCTGAAGCAGACTTGACGAAACCGCTAGACGATGGCTTGCATGTCTATGCATGTGTGCATGTGTGTGCGTGTTTGTATATTGTTTGGAGGCTGCAGTA